TAATAAAGTACTATAAAAAGATAAGTTTAACTATGTTAAAGTCACACCAAATAAATATTATTTAAACTTACTTAAAAATTAACATATGATGATGCATAATTAATTTATTAATTTAATATTTAGTGATAACAATTCGGTTCGGTACTCTCTGTATTCATTTTTTGAGAACCCGTCTCGTACCATTTTAAAAACAGTTTGCTTCGGTTCGGGATATAATTTACTAGAACCATTTAAAAATCTGCTTTTCAGTTCAATATAATATCAGTTGGGTTCGGAACAATATCAGGCCGGTATTTTTGTCCACCCAAAAATGATATTTACTTATCATTCTTTTGTTACTAGTATTTTAATATGTGCCATGCGCTGGTTAGAATAAAATTGTTTGTGATTCTACAATGTAAATTATTAAAATGATTTAACTTTTTTTACGGGACATATCATTTAAAAATCAAATATAAATGATTTAATTTGATTGAATTTCTATAAATTTATAATTCTTCTCCTTGTATAAATTAAAAAACTATTGACACAAAAAACTTTAGTGTTGCAATTATTCTTTTCCTCCGCATTAATTTAAAAAAATTGAATTACCGATCTTATGAGTCTACGATTAAAACAATATGATTCTTTTCTCGCATTGATTACAAAAATTAAAAAACTAAAATTCAATGATTCTTTTCGCGCATTGATTAAAAAAATTAAAATCCAATGATTAAAAAATTCAAAAAATATTTATAATAAAATTTTTTATTAGAGCTCCAATGATTCTGAAGAGAAAGTGAGAAAGATTAATATATGATTAAAGTATAGGAAAATAATGAAAATAAAACATTCATATTTTTATCTCCAAAATAAAAATGTCAATGATACCAACATATAATACCAATAATTACAACAAAATTCATATATATATATATGTGTGTGTGTGTGTGTGTGTGTGTGTGTATATATATATATATATATATATATATATATATATATATATATATATATATATATATATATATATATATATATAGGGCTGGTTCAGGTGAGAATGATCTACTGTGAAAGAAATAAGAATAAATATTATCCATTAGATTATATGTAATGAACGGTTGTGATGATAATAATCTTTAATGACTCATCACACGTTAAAAAAAGTAGGCATTTATTACGAGGCATAAAAATAGGAATTGATCCCCTTTTTCTACTTTTAAGGGCAT